ACCTCAGCCTGTTCCCCTGTGTTGTGCAACACACCTCAGCCTGCTCCCCTGTGGCTGTGCAACACACCTCAGCCTGTTCTTACTCATTGTTGGTTTGAATAGGAATTCTTTATCCATTTCAGTTCTTTTAAGGAAACATAAAACTATTCCTAATCTGTTTTTGTTTCTTATACAGAATTTAAAGTTATAGTGCTGTTTTGAAAGCACTAGGGGAGAGGGTTGCTTTGTTATAAATCAGTGAATTAACCTGCAGAGCAATGAAGACTTTTGTGTGGAGTTGATTGTTTTATCTTAGAGTTAGTTTTTCAGATCAGAATCATCACCCTCTGGTAGAGTAGTTACTACTATAATAGCCACCATGGTGGTTTTCCTTCGGGTTTTTTTTTTTTTTTTGAAAAGTTTTATGTGTATGGGTGTGTGCTGCATGTATGTCAGCGTGTGCCTGCATGTATGTCAGTATGCTTCTCCATGCCTAGTGCTTTGGATCCCTGGGAACTGAGGAGCAGGCACTTGTGAGCTGCTGGGGAGGAAACCCCGTGATCTAGAAGAGCAGCAAGAGTGCCTGATTGCTGGACCGTCTCTCCAGCCCTGCTGCCATGGTTTTTATATTTCCGATGGGAACAGCTCCCAGCCTAAGCTCATCACATTTTCATTCCCAGAGTCGGGGCAGAATCTGATTATTGAGGTTTGGGATCAGGCGAGATGTTGCACACATGGCCACCTTTGATCCTGCCCATAGTGCACCAGGATGGAGCAGGCCTAACCCAGGATTCTCCTTCTGGAGAAAATGGTGCCTCACACTGCTGGCTGAGTGCTTTCTGTCCTCCCACCAGGTCCCCCCAAAAAATCACACAGAGGTCTATATTAATGATAAACTGATTGGCGCATTAGCTCAGGCTTCTTACTAACTCTTATAAACTTATATTAACCCATTCTTATCTATGTTAGTCACATGGCTCGGTACCTTTTTCAGCAGGGCAATCACATCTTCCTCCTTCTATGGCTGGGATAGGACTGGGGAGGAATGGGCTTTCTCCTTCCCAGAATCCTCCTGTTCTCACTGACCAGCTTCTACTTCCTGTCTGGTTGTCTTGCCAATCAGTGCTTACCCGCACCATTACACGCCAGCCCACAGAGAGGGCCGTGGACGTTAGGAGGAGGTGCTCTTTTGTGCTGGGCTTTGCAGAGCTCGCGCAGATGCGCAGCCCCATAAAGTGGAGCTTCTGTGTGTTTGAAACACTGTTGCCCAGCGCTAGTCCTCCGTTTCTCTCATGTTCCTGCAGTAGATGTCAGCTGGCGGCAGAGTGCTTGTCGTGAAGCTCGAGGACTGAATTCAGATCCCCATCACACACGTAAAAGCTGGGCGGTGGTGGCGCACGCCTTTAATCCCAGCACTCAGGAGGCAGAGTCGGGTGGATCTCTGTGAGTTCGAGGTCAACCTGGTCTACAAGAGCTAGTTCCAGGACAGGCTCCAAAGATACAGCGAAACCTTGTCTCAAAAAGCAAAAGCTGACACCAGAGATTGTATTTTGGAGTGGCAAGGTTCAGGCAGAACGAGCCCTGGCTCACTGATCAGCTTACTCTAGCCAAATCAGTGTGAGACCTGATATCAAAAAAAGGAAAAAAAAGAAAAAAAGGATGGAGAAAGGGATTGAGGATAATATCCAGTGTGGATTGCTGGACTCCAGACAAGTGCAGACTCACACAAGCATGTGTGCACAGCACATGAATGTGATTGTACTCTTCTGACCCCTGTCCATGGTAGGCTTGTGAGTGGCAGCCCCCGTGCTGAGTGATGGCTGAGAGCCGAGAAGGCTCAGCAGGTTTTCCGGGAGAGTGGTCTCCCCAGCCTGCTTCGAGAGCTGTTTCTTTCTTAGGATGCCACCGCCAGGTAGTTTCCTGAGAGGACAGACTCCTAAAATGACATGTCTACCCCACATTATTGTGAACGATACGGATTGCTTAAAATACTGTTCAGAACAAAGATTTCAGGGGAAAGTTAATACACAAGGCTAAGCTGCGACATTAAAATGGGAAAAACCCCAGCTGGATATATTTTATGGTCCTTTCTATAAATACCCACACAACAAAAACCAGCTTTTCATTTTTTCACTGTTGGGCAGGGGCAATGCAGGGATGTAGACAGTCACTTGCTTCTGTGCAGTTGGATCCACTGCTGCCCACAGTGGATTTGATTTGTGGCACACACAGAGCTGCTCGCAGGGACCCCGTCTCCCCGACAGCTGCAGTGTCTCTGAATGTGTCAGCGTGTTCATTCGTAGCTCTGCAGTAACTGGGGTCTGTGCAGTGCATGTGGTTTGAGTCCCAGGACCCACCGTCCACACAAACATCTTGAATGGAAAGAAAGGGTGTTCCTTTTTGGGGCCCCTGTGAATGGGCGTGGACCAGCCATGGCAGCTCCTGGTGGAGTGGACCCAAGGGACCTCATGGGCTCCGCTTGCTCACCCTGGAGCCTGACCTCCTTTTCCCCCATCTTTTATCACATGTCTGTCAGTTTTGCCCCCAAATCCTCAAAGAGAAAAGAAGTACTTCAGTAACGGGGTGTGGCATGTTTTGAATATTGAAAATAATCAGGATTTTTGGGAGGATCTCTATGCATTTTAATGAAAGTTAATAATCAGAATAATGTGCGTCAGAGTGTGGTCCTGTGAGGACCATTTCTTTGACAAGTTCAGACTGGCTTTACTTATTGTCTCTGTTAATTGATGTGGAGTTGGCCTGTGACCTCAGGGAGTTCTTTCTGAGGGTGGCAGCGGGAGAGGCGGCTGTGCTGGTGCTGTGACAGCTTTTACTAAAGACAGAGGAAAGGAGAACAGCCGCCAGCACGTCTGGCTCCACTGACGTTGAGAGCCATGAGCATAAAACAGGCATATATTTGATTTTGAACGTGCTCAATTGGTTGACTTTTTTAAATTTAAAATTAAATAATAAAGTATTTGTAGGACCTACACACACACACACACACACACACACGCCCGCCCCGCAGTTCCACTCTTGAGTTCTTTGGCATCTACTCTGGAATCTTCTGTGTCCATCATCTCTGACAGGTCCAGCTGCCTCCAGGATGCCTGCAATGACTTAGAGAGCGTGTTCATACCCTGTAATCCAGGCCTAGTAGCGTGCTGCTGGTTAGAGTCTCATAGCCCAGGCAGAGCACAGAGCGGAGCTGCTGCTTTTTGGAGCTGAGTCTGTGGAGATCTCACACGCACACACGCACATGCATATGCACCCATCCACCCTTCCAGTCTTCCTGTGTAGAGCTGCACGTGAGGACACACAGGGAGGGGTGGAGCTGATGAAGGTTAGTGAAGCTCTGAGAGGGGAAGGTTGTCAGATGGAAAGATGAGGCAGTCTGCCGCCGGAGCGCCTAAGTGCCAGCCTGGGAATCTAATTATGAAGGAACGTGGCTGTATAAAAGACTTACTTAATCAGTCAGAGATGTTTGACATACTTAAAAATGAATGTACAACATGGCTTGGAAAAACAAGGTAGAATTTCGGGATATTTAGGGTGAGCTGCTTTTAGTACTCTGGAACAGCATTTCTGACAAGGTGGAAATGCATTTCCTCCCACATGTACCCTCTCTTAGGGCTTTCCATGGTCTTGTCCAGAGTCAGGATTAGGAGTGGACATGTGTCTGGTTCCATGGTGAGAATGGAGTCGTCAGGCCCACACGATGCTTCTGTAGAACCCAAGTAGATGGTCTGTAGTTGGGTAGGTGTGTGATCTGTCCAGCAGAGGAAGAATGGAGGGTGAAGTGTGTGTGTGTGTGTGTGTGTGTGTGTGTGTGTATGTGTATGTGTGAGAAGGTATTAGGAATCACCCGTGGATGAGATATATGCATTTTCCCATTGTGGTCATTTTTCTCCCGCTGTGCTAAAACACCATGATCAAAAGCAACTTAAAGGAGAACGCTGTGTTGGCTGATGGTTCCAGGGTACAAGTGCATCATGGAAGGGAAGCCCACAGTGAGCAGTAGGTACAGGGGGCAGGAACAGGCAGCCGAGCGCCAGTGTGCTGGGCTGAGATCTTGTTGCAGATTCAGACCCCGAGTTCTGGTGTGAGAACGACAGACGGGAAAAGCACTCTGTCGTCCCCTTCTAAGGGGCTGGAGCAATGTGTTTGCTTCAGTCTGAAGATTAAACACTGAAGAATAGACACGGAGGAAGCAAGCACTCGGTGTGTCAGTGTGTCCTAGACCATGGTCTTTGGAACAGGGGTTTCAATATGTTTCCTGTTAAGAAAAAAAAAAAAGAAGAAGAAAAAGGGCTCTTGGTCAGATAACTGGAAAAAATTATGCTCTGTGGAACAGGACAGACGTGCTGTTCTCATCTGAGCACAGTGCCTCGGCTAGAATTGGCAGTGATTTCCCGGCAGGCCGGTGGACCCCGCACTTTGATTTTCTCTGCATATATAATCTCAAAGGTGCTTGCCCTTTCTCTTCTGTTCTAAATGAAGGAAGCCAGAGGGGCTCAAGTGCTAGGCCGCCAGGAGAAGGGCCTCTGGGGTGAGCCGGGAAGCTGCACCAGGCATGGTTGGCCTGCAGTGCAGGTGGCTCTTCAGCTGGTCTTCTGGAGGAGACCCGACAGTGGGCCAGCTGATCCAGCAGTGACTGCCTGTGTGGGGGAGGCCGTTCAGCCCCGAGGCCTAGTACCTCGGCTGGTCTTCGGTATGTGTTGGACTCCTGAAGACATAGGCAGCCGAAGAGAGGCTGCCAGCAGGAAGTGTGACTCGGGTTAGCGGCGGGTCTTTCCGCCTCAGAGGCCTGGATTAAAAGGTGTGCCTCTCATCTCAAAGATCTGGATTAGAGGTGGATCGAAATGATTTAATTCTAATCATTTAATCAAGTGATTTAATTAATCAGAAATCCCTCGCAGGTGTGCCCAACCATTTTTGGGTTTTAGTTCATTTCAGATGTAGTCAAGTTGATAACCAAAAGAGCCGTCACAGTGCCCGAAGGACTCAGTGGGCACCCATGCTGGGCCACACGTGTCCTTTGGGATGTCAAAAGGTGTCAGCAAAGTCACGAGACGTGCAGTGACTCCCAGCTGTCATTTCCTTGGGAGTAAGATGCACGGGTTAGTTTTGTTTTTTATTTTATATTTATTTTATTTCTGTGTATGAATAATGCTTTGCTTGAATGTATGTATGTGTACCATGCATGTGCCTGCACAATTCAGAGGGCTTCAGATCCCCCTAGAGCTGGAGTTCGGGATGATTGTGACCCATCATGTGGTGGTAGGAACTGAACTCGGTCCTCTGTGAGAGAAATAAACGGCCTTAACTGCTGAGCTAGCTTTCCAGCCTGGTTTTTAATATTTGAGACAATCTGAGGACATCAGAGCTCAGGCTGGCTTGGAACTTGGGGTGGTCCTGCTGTTAGGACCGCCTTTTAAGGGCTGGGACTTCAGACCTGAGCCAGTGCAGCTGGTCACACAGGTCTGTGTCTTCTTCTGGCTTAGGGGACTTGCTCGGTAAGAGCTGCTGTTGGGGCTTTTGTGCCTGTGGACTGTCTCGGTGCCACGAGCTCAGTGACCTTTCCTACACTTGTAAGTGAGGATGGATGCACTGTGTCTTACAAATGAAGCCCCTTTCTGTCTGCTGCATTTTCTGCTTTTCCTTTTTCTTTCGTTTTTCAAGTCAACTTTTTAAACAAGGATGTGTACACATTACATTGCTTCCTTACAACTTCTTACGAAAATTGATACTAAGGAGTCAAGAGAAAGCGCTCCTTCGAGTTTCTCAGAATTAAATCAATTACTCCCCCAATTAAAGCTAATAAATGTTTTATGTGTGCATTCTCTAACACATTCTGAAAGTCTTGGGGAGCTAGATCTGGGAAGTTCTGGTGAGGGGTAGCTTGAGGAAGGAATGGGCTCGCGCTCTCCTCACAAGGTGCCTGTCCAGCCCCTCCCCTCGACTCTGGGCCGCTGCTCTCCGCTTAACCGAGTCTCAGGCCGGCAAACATATTTTATAGTCGTCCCCTCCTCAGATTTAAATAGATTTAACTTTTTGTTTTTTAGCAACAGGGTTTCATTATGTAGACCCAGCTGACCTTGAACTTGCAGAGATCTGCTGTTTCTGACTCCCAAGTGCTGGGAATAAAGGTGTGCGTGCACCATGACACCTGGCCCTTTAGTAGATTTCAATTGTTTAGGCAAAATATCTGCTTTGTGTGAAGATGTCTTTCATTTTAATTATCTTGTCTATTTAGCATGGATTTTGTTTCTTAAACCCTGTGTAAGAAAGCTTCTAAGTGACTAATGATCTTTTTTTCTTGTTAGTTAGAACCTGGCCCTTTAGATGAAATTCAGATTGCTACCATATTACGAGAAATTCTGAAAGGACTTGATTATCTACACTCAGAGAAGAAAATCCACAGAGATATTAAAGGTGGGATCTACTCTTGTTTTTATTTATTTATTTATTTGAAACACCAAAGTGGTCAAACTCTCTGTATGTCTTTTCTGCCCACTCTTGACAGTCGGGGTCAGTCGGGCTGTTGTAAACCCCAGGGCACCTTGCTATGGGCCCTCGTGCCCAGTGGGGAGCGCGTGCGTGAACTCCCAAGGTGACCCTGAGTATAACTGTGTATAATGATGTCCTGCTTGGTTATCTTGCAGCGGCCAATGTCCTGCTCTCTGAACATGGAGAGGTGAAGCTGGCTGACTTTGGAGTAGCTGGCCAGCTGACCGATACTCAGATAAAAAGGAACACCTTCGTGGGCACTCCCTTCTGGATGGCGCCCGAGGTCATTAAGCAGTCAGCCTATGACTCAAAGGTGAGAGCTCGGACCATACCCAGATATTTGTCCCTTTTGTTTTTGCATATGTAGCTGGGCTAGGCCATGGAGGTAATTTTGTGACCTTGGTTCATGTCAACTTCCTTCTCCACCTCCCAATATGCCATTGGTGACCTTGTCCTTCTGGGTTCAATGACTGTTTGATGTGGGTGTTGGGTATGAGAGTGGGCACAGTCGGCCTTCTGAGACTGCAGACCCTAGATATAGATAGCTTAGGGCAGGCAGTGCTGTGCCTAGGAACAGGAGGCGGGTGGGGCCTTGACAGAGTGGGTGGGGGGCAGGGCTTAGACAGAGCTCAGCTGCTCTCCATAGGGCATCTAGAGAGAATCAGCGAGCCCACAGAAAATCCCACAGCAGGATGGAGCAGGCGTGGTTCTTTAGTGACTGCCACCATTTGTTCTGTTTTTAGTCTCAGGACCTTTATTCCCAGAGGCTCTCAGACCGCGGGAGACTGGAGTTGTCCCCCGTCAGGCTGCTTGCTTGTTCCTGTGTTTCTTGCTTTTGTCCTTTAGTTCCATAGCTCATTCTGTTTGCTGGGGTCAGCGGCCCATGCGCAGTAAGCATGGGCATGGCAGAGAATTGCCTTTCCTAAGCCCCAGACTTCAGCACAAAAACAAATTTAACCCAGAGACAGGCATAGGTTGGACATTGCTCTTTGTCTTTCTTTTCGTTTGTTTCTGTCTTGTCTGTGGGTCTGCACGTACGGTGCTGGTGTTCTGGAAGGCGTGAGATCCCGAGATGAGTCAGGCAGTTGTCAGCCGTCTGGCACGGATGCTGGGACACGGCTAGGATTCTTGTGAGAACAGTATGTGCTCTTAATGCGGAGCTATCTTTCCAGCCCCTCAAAAAAAAAGAAAAAAAAATTAATTCAGTCCCCCTCCCCTTTGGAGATAGTTTTGCTCCGAGAGCCAAACCCGACAAACTGGTCACTTACCCGCTTTGGGGTTGCGAGTATGTGTTAGCATGCCAGACCCCTGCCTTTGTTTTTCTTTCTTCCTTTTTTTAATAGGACCCTTCTCCGTGTGTAGCAGATTTCCTGCCTCATTAAATGATGCTTGAAGCATAGGATAACTTGCCTTGGGGACTCTTGTAAGGTATATGACATTACAGCATGCCGTGATGTAGAGTTATCTCTTGCTCTGGCTTGGTGAACTCAGAACTGTGGTGATAGCATAGCTGGGTAGACACTCAGGCCCCGGATCCAGCAAGCAGCAAGCGTGCACAGGTTTCTCAGTTCTGTCTCTGTGTTTGCTGCTCGCTGGTCCCGTGTCTTCTGGGAAGTAGATGACGTCATGGCTACTTCTCTGAAGTCCAGTCTTGTCCCTCTCCCCGAGTTCTGTCATGTAGGAAGGTAGGTGTATTGTCTGCTGTTTACTGTCAGTGTTCATGTCTAAATTTTGGTGTAAGAGAGACTAGAATAACTACCCTGGTAATTCTCTTTCAGGTTAGTAAACTAGCTTTTCAACCTTGGCCCTTATGACTCGGGACCCAAGTCACCCATTTCTATTCTAGCCATGGCCACCCCCTTTCTTGTCTCCCAGAGAGCTTTCCTGGTCTTCTTGCCTGATGCGTCTCTGCAGTGGCTCCTTAGTGCAGTTCCACTCTGGTTGTTTTGGATAAGGCTGTCCTCCCCTTACCTGATTTTCACTTGAATCCCCAGGTGTGCATGTCCTAAATATAGTGGTAGACACGCAGTTGTGTTGGCTGGGACTTGGTTCTTTATTTTGGATACTTCATTAAGTTAATGGGTTGTGGTGATGTAATTCTTTGCTCTGAGGTGGACTAAGTAGCGCTGCTGGTGGAGTGTTTGGGAAGGCCTCTTCTGCCTTGCTGCTCCTATTTATCAGGGTAGTGATGTAGGATGCCCCTCTATGTGCTACGATTACCAGTGGTTAATAAAGAAACTGTGTTGGGCCTGTGCAGGGAATAGAGTAGGTGGGGAAAACTAAACTAAATGCTGGAAGAAAGGAGGCAGAGTTTAGGGGAGAAGCCATGTAGCCCCCGCCGAAGACAGACAGATGGAACTTTATCCAGTAAGCCACAGCCCCATGACAGTACACAGATTAATGGAGATGGGTTAAATTAATATGTGTAAGAGTTAGCCAATAAGAAGCTAGATCTAATGGGCCAAGCAGTGATTTAATTAATACAATTTCTGTGTGACTATTTCGGGGCTGAGCAACTGGGAACTAACTAGCGGCCTCCTCCTATAGGGTAGATTGGGTTTAAACATGGATGTTTATTGTGGTCTTTGATTATATGCCAGATGGCTTGATACTAAATGGTCGTGCCAGCTCAGTGTCCGTGTTTGTCAGTGGATGTCAGGTGCAGGCAGGGGGGCTGCACAGGTGTCTGCGCAGGTCTGGCTGGTGCTAGAGGGCGTGGGGACTCTGGGCGTTACATCTGGTAGAGCCAGGATCATGCCAGGTTGTTCTTGGTTAGGTTTAGGTCCCCCGTGTGTGGGGACCACACTGAGGAAGCAGGGCCAGCTCCTTTCTGCCTTGCCGCTTGTGCTTTTCCAGCCCCTCCTTCCAAAGTTCTCAGGCCTCTGCCACCAGTGCACAGCTAACCTGAAGCAGAGACCATCTCTGCCAGGCCTGTAATGGGGTCAGCTGAGCTGATCGTGTGGTGCCTAGAGGTCTTGGTGGAGACTCATTGCCACAGGCCCCGTGGATACACGGTGGTGGAGTCACGCTCTGCCCGAGAGTACAGGAGTTGGTGACGGCAGTCACGCAGACTTCAGAGGGGATAGGCGAGAGACCGGCCTGCCGCGATGCAGCTCCTTTTCCACTTTCTGATGCTTTGTCACTGCCTCTTGCCACCTTCATGGCTCGACTGGGGCACGGTGGTGAGGGTTTCTGGTCCTCACAAGGTTGCAGAATGGCAAGTGAGTCCCCTCCAAGTGGCTAAGGGTCAGGGATTGTCCTGGTCCTGTGATCACCTGAACTGGCCTCCTCTGGCCTCCTGGAGGAGCGACGGTAGCTGTCCCTTCAGGGGACACTGGTGATGGGTTTGTGCGACAGTGGTGAGCAGAGGGGCCTCCCTCCACCACAGTCCTCCATGAAGTCAGGGCAGGACCTGGGGGCAGGAACTGACGCAGAGACCATGGGCACTGTGGACTGGCCTGCTCCTCACAACCGCTTACTTTCTTTCTCATATACCCCTGGGCCACCTGTCCAGGGGTAGGGGCACTGCCCACAGTGGTCTGGGCCCTTCCACATCAGTCATTAATCAGGGAAATAAAAGGCCTATTCATAGGCTTTGCCTATTGACTAGTCTGATGGGCGCGTGTTCTGAATTAAGGGTCTCCTTCCCAGATGACTCTGGTTTGCCAAGCTGATAGAAATCCAACCAGCACAGAAACTACAAACAGAAGGACTCGACCTTCTTGTTAAGGGCACCAGGGAAATTGGCAGTAGAGACTGTTAGAAGTGAACGAGCTCTGGGCAGCCCAGCCGTCCCCTGGGACATGTGGACATCATCCGGATCCTAATTCAGATAAAGCAACTGTGGAAGGTTTTCTGTTTCTCCTTTTTTTTTTTTTTTTAAATAAGCAGTTGGAAAAGCTTAGTGACTACCTGATATTAAAGACTTATAGATGTACCAGGCAATGTTGGCACACATCTTTAATCCCTGCATTTGAGGCAGAGGCAGATGGATCTCAGTGAATTTGAGGCCAGCCTGGTCTACTACTGTTACTTAGAGAAATCTTGCCTGGGGCGGGGGTGGGGCGGGAGCTGTGAGGACGACGTATAGACGCTGCTAGATAAACTCACTGCAAGTTGGAAGTAGTGAGTTGAGGCTGCATTGGTCGTGTGTGCACCCCCCTCCCTCCGTTGTCCAGTCTGTTGGCTGTTGTTGCCCAGGCTACAGAAGAGAATTGCCCTGCACACTGCCTGAGAGAGCCCCAATTCAGTAAGCCGCATTTCTGCTGAGCACATGTTGAGAACTACCAGTGTTGGTAATTTTAACCTTGTTTGGTTGGCATATTGAAGGGTCGGGGATGTCAAGATAGCTTTTCTGTATCTGTCCTCCTTGAGACCCTGCTGTGTAGGATTTACATTCACTTGTGTGTGTAGCTTTAGGTGGCCGCGGACTTGTGCAGTGTCCCTGCCCCGTCTTCTGAGTGCTGGGATGACAGGCCACGAGGCCTTTTACAACACAAATACGCAGTCGTATGGAAGGGCATCGTATTAACATTTTCCATGTCTGTGTATTTGACCATTTTTAATAATAAACGTTTTGTAGGGCTGGTAGAGCATTTCCCTAGCGTCCATGAGGTCCTAGGTTCAGGTCCCAGCACTGCAAAAGCAAACAGAACAAAACTACATTAAGTTCGGGGCACAGTGGTCAGCCCTTTACACACTTCCTGTGTAACTGCCTTCTTCTGGGAAAAGCAGCTGTCCGGTATCATGAGACCTTGACTGTAGAGCTGGTGTTGAGACCAAGGTGCCTACTGATCTGGACAGCTGCGCACCAGGTGCTGCTCCAGGGTTGACGACCATAGAGATGACAGTCAGGATCGCTCTGTAGGGTGGAGTATTTCAGTACTCGTTTTCTGTGTTAAAATTATGCCAAGGGCTTATATTTCTTATCATTTAAAATAATTGTCTTTTTCAGAACTTGTGATTGAAACACACACACACACACACACACACACCATGCTTGTCTGAATATACTCTTGTTTGCTCTGGTCCTCACAGGCAGACATCTGGTCCCTCGGTATCACAGCAATAGAACTGGCCAAAGGAGAGCCCCCGCACTCTGAGCTGCACCCTATGAAGGTGTTATTCCTCATCCCAAAGAACAACCCTCCCACACTGGAAGGAAACTACAGCAAACCCCTCAAGGAGTTTGTGGAGGCCTGTTTGAATAAGGAGCCGAGCTTTGTGAGTACACCCTTTCTGTGGTCTCCAGCCAGGGTGAATTTGCTCTGTAGGGGTGGCTGGTCTCCATGATCTCACACAGCGTTGCAGATGAGTTTGATTTCTTTAAATTGCGGAGACTTTTGTTGTTGTAGTCATTTTATGTGTTAGGGATTTAAGTCGAAATTAGTTTGTTTAAAATTTTCTAGCATCTCATACCTGGTTGCCCCTGAGGAGTTTTCTCCTCGGTATGGGGTGGGATCACCAGTCTCAGTGTTTACAGACAAAGGTCAGGCTGGGAACTGACCTGAAGATGACGGAAGTAAACGTTTTCAGTTGTCTTATGCTGGGAGACAGACAGGATATCCAGCACCCACTGTCTCTACTTCCTCTCTTTCCCTCCGAGTTTACTCTGTGATGACAAAACCCAGGCATTAGCTGCTGGGAGCTTTGCCTCTTTTCCTGGAGAACTGAGACTATCTTTGAAAGCAGCCTGTGTATCTGTGTCCCAGGTAGCGTCATATGTGGGTTTCTGTGAGCTGTTGTCTGGAGGCAATGCTTCATTGAACCTCAAGAATATTCATAAGGGGGTCCTGTAAACCCTTGTCTAAAAGTGACGAGAAAATAAGTTTAATAATAGCATTATATAGTTCCCCAATAGGGTACCAGTTCTGGCAAAGGAATCAGGATCTAAAGCACCACGGGGGGGGGGGGGGGGGGGGGCTGCGGGTTGAGGCCAGCAGATCAGCATTTGGTTACTGGTGTCAGATCGTGGTGGATGTGGTCTGTGGGTAGTCCAGTTGTTTGTTTATATCACAGAGTAGTACGATAGTACTCGGGAAGAGAGACCCAAGTGTGTATACTATTCTTCTAAAGCATGTCCAGTACTCATTTATTCCTGGGATACACCCTCCACTTTGGCTTGTCCCTGAACCTGCAGGTGAGAAGGCTGCGAACCTTGGTTGTGCCTGGAGTGTCACGGGCAAGAGGGATTGCCGAGGCCACCTGGGGTCTCAGGAATCATGGTAGAGAACATGCTGTTTTGTTAAGAAAAACAAAACAAAACAAAACATAGATTCCTGGAGCAGGTGGGACTGTGGTGTGCCTGGCTGGACCTCTGTGTTTCTGCTGTCCCTGCTTGGGCCACTCTGCGTGTTGAGGGAGCTTTGTGCCGGTAGGTGGGGAGACCACTGGCTATACTGGGTGAGCTGTTTGGTTGGAGTTGTCCATGTCCAGGTGTTATCAGGCTGTTGGCCCCAGTCACGGGGTGGGGAGAGTAGGTTCACATGTCTGCTTTTCTAAATTGGGAGTGCTGGTGACCACAGGAATTCGGTTGGGTCTCTCCTGACTCCTGCCCTAACCTGTTGTAGATGAGTCGAATCATCGACTTCATTTTAATTTGCGGTATTAGCCCAACCCTGTAGGAAGTCATGAAGAACATGTGTTTCCCTTACTCAGCATCTGTCATGAGGTATACTGTAAACCAGGAGATGCACCCTCTCAGGCAGTACTTATAGAGTTCTTTTGTGGTGTTATGGGTAGGCGCATTCTTTGTTTGGTTGAATGGTTCTGGTAGACCGTTTTTGTCCTTGTTGGAACTCCCTTGTCAGGTTCACCTTGTACAGGGAGGCTCGGGCTCGGGAGTGGTGCAGCTCCCTTTCGTGATTATTTGGGCACGTGTTTTCCAGAGACCCACTGCTAAGGAGCTGTTGAAGCACAAGTTTATAATCCGCAATGCGAAGAAGACGTCCTACTTGACGGAGCTCATTGACCGGTACAAGAGGTGGAAGGCCGAGCAGAGCCATGACGACTCCAGCTCAGAGGACTCGGATGTGTAAGTTGTCCCGCTGAGCTCTCTATACTCTGGGTTGGACTGCTGGGCTCCGCTTCTCTGTGGGAATTACGGGTAGTTTAGTTCCTCATGCCCGCGAGGCCGGTCCTGTGCATTGGGCTGTGTCCCGCCCCTCTGGACTGATGCTGAGTTCCATGTTGTACCCATGGCCTTGTTTGGGGTTCTCTGGCCCAATGCACTGCCACAGAGTTTGTGTGACATCTTGTATTAACAGAAGCTGCACAGGACTGTGGCGAGGTCCCTGCTCTTCATTAGCCCCTGCCATTGACGTCCCGACAAAGTCCTTGTATGCAGTTCTGAAGAGAAAAGAAAGATTGCTTTTGAGACTTTGGGTGTTGTCAAGCTTTGTATGGGGCAGTTACTGAATGTGGGTTCCCCACTCAGCACCCACACTTCTGTTGACCGGTGTGTGAAGCGGTTGGAGCCCTGCACTCCATGCCAGGACAGAGAATCACAAGCCTCAGGGATGGACCCAGGTCTGAAGGTCCAGGTTACTGTTGATAGCCCAGGTTGAGACCATTGACTGAGAGGTCATTGAGATGCTGTTGCTGGGAGGCCAGAGTGTCAGCTGCAGAGTGGAAGAGGCCTGGGAGCCAGGCTGCGGCAGTGCTCTGGGTAGAGGTATCAGCGAATTTCAGATACCAGGGACTTCAAGACTTACAAGCAAGTTAATGAAACCATTTCAAAATAAAATACAGAGTGCTGGGATTGTTGCTCAGTACCTGACTGGCATGCGAGAGGCCCCGGGTTTCAGCCCCAGTGAAGGACTGGGTACAGGAGGCAGGGATGTTGTTCAGGTTTCCGCAGCACAGTGGTACGGTGTCAGGAACTGTTGGGGTTTGAGCTGTTTATGGAGTGTGTAGAAGACACATAGCTTAAGGCGTCGTTGCACCATGGACAGCGGGCAGAAGACACAGACCTGTGTACACTTGGAGCCATGAGAGCAAGTGGTGTCCCTCAGGTTATAGACCTTAGGAAAGGTGGAGCAGGTGGGACTGGTGTGCCTGACTGGACCTCTGTGTTTCTGCTGTCCCTGCTTGGGCCACTCTGCATGTGGAGGGAACTTTGTCTGGTAGGGTCAGCCTCTCGGAAGCTAGCATCAGAGTAAAGCTGGAACATGGAAGCAAGACAGAGCAGGCCGGCTCTGTGGGCGGGAAAGGATGCAGGTAGCAGGCAGGCACCCGGGTCATTGCCACTAAGGATTGAGCAGGCCCTGAATGAGCAGGGAGTGGGACACCTTGTCTGGCAATGTGTAGAACCTCGGTGGTAACACACAGGGCCAGAAGCGGGCTGTGGAGCTGGGGGCAGTGACAGAGATAGAGGAGGTGACCTGTCCACCTTGTAGCTGTGTGGCTGCAGTAGGACAAAAGAGGACCTTTTGAGCCATGGCCGGAAAGAGCTCTTGGAAAGAAACTAAGGTTCAAGAGAGACTGGCAGAGAAGTGGAGGAGGAGGAGGAGGAGGCCCCAGAATAGTGGCACTGTCGGCTAGTGCAAGGGCTATCCCAGGAGCCATGGTCCTTCCTGTCTGCTGTGCCGTGTGGCACGGCTGCAGGTGACTTGGTGTGAATGGGCTGGGGGTGTGAATGGCCTGGGTCAGTGGTCTGGGCAGTTCAGTTTGTAGCCCAGCCCACGTTGGTGAACTTGGTGGGATTTCTCTGTCAAGGGAAACAGATGGCCAGGCGTCTGGAGGCAGCGACTCTGGGGACTGGATCTTCACAATCCGGGAGAAAGATCCCAAGAATCTGGAGAATGGAACTCTTCAGCCATCAGATTTGGAAAGAAATAAGGTACGATAGTGGCTCATGCCTGCTCCTATGCCCGCGCTCGCCAGCCAGTGGCACAGCGAGGCTGCTGTGGGAGTGTAGGTGCTGAGCTGTGCCCCGTCTCCTCCTGACCCTCAGCCGCATGGTGGAGTTGGATGTGGGGTGAAGCTCACACATGAAAGCTCTGTGAGCTCCTGCCGGACGTCAGCATACCCTGATTTTATGCTGGCGTTTTAATTTTGGACCCCCAAAAATGAGTGTGTTGTATTTAGAGACTTAATTTTGATGGAATGTTTTTCAGCCCACTAAATGTACAAAAGCTGTATCTTAAAGATCTTGTGGAGCACAGTGGTTCAGTTTGTCAGGCCGTGTGGACCAGCAGCCACCTCTGGGGCCCCACAGACGGGTTGAAGGGTGGTGGGAACTGGGCCTCTTGTACAGGGACTGCGTGGTATACCTGGCGCTAGCCCTCCAGAGTGATTTCCTATCTCAGATAGTGAACAGGAAGGGTTTCCAGGAGGAGACTGCAGAACCCTTGCCTGTTTCTGTTTCTAACTATCCCCTCTTCCTCCCCAAGGTGAAGGACATCCCAAAGAGGCCCTTCTCTCAGTGTTTATCCACCATTATTTCCCCTCTGTTTGCGGAGGTAAGATCCCTGGCTACCTTTCTTGGGGGGTGGGGATAAGGTTAGGAGGGAAGAAGAGGGGATCAGGGCTGCCCTTTGTAGGTGGCTACCAGGATGAATTGGGGGCAGAGGCAGGCTCAGCTTCTGCCTTGGCATCCATGCTGACGACTGGCCATGGGCCCTGCCTTGCATAAACCAGGCCGCTGAGCTGGGAAAGCTGGGTGGATTTCCTGATCTGTCAGGGGCCGTGTAGGTTTTACTGGACTCAAACTGCTGAAATTATTCCTCAGTGACAACCTCAGATCCACCAGAATGAGGTAATATTCTGGAAGTTCTAGAGAACCAAAAGGAGCTATCTCCAGCACCCCCACCCCCAAGTACGCAGCCTCATTAGGGGTAGTAGACCGTAGCTGGAGGTGAGGATTCAGTCATCAAAGCTCAGTAAACATAACCTGGTCAGCACATGAGCACAGTCCACAGTGGAATGTCCCCATTGCTGTTACTCTGCCTGAGTCAGGGACGACCGCACACGTTAGTGATGGGGCCATTGCATCTAACACTGTTGTGGTAGAGGGGGGCAGGGCTCTGGTTCTCCTGTCTTTCTTTGCTTCTGCTTTGAGACCCTCAGATCAGAGGCAGGTGAGTGACAGGTTGCAGATTAGTCTCTAAATACTGTGCTTGGAAGTGGCAGGGGCTGTTAGCTAACAGACAACACCACAATGTGTCCTGCTTCTGTGGGCCTCCCCGGTGTCAGCCTTGGCCATCTCTCCATGGCCCCTTAGAGACAGGGTAAGGAATTCCATGCTCTTAGGGCGACAGTGGTCTGGTCTGGTTGTTCTCAGCACCATCAGAGTCAAAGCTGAGTGTTTTCAGGCATGTTTACAGATGAGGGGGACCGGGGACCGAGCTGCCGGTGTCCGTGCTGGGAGGTCTGTAATCCTGAGCTGAGCTCAGCCTTGATGTGAGGGGCTCTTGTGCTCATGTTCCGTGGTGTGAGCACCTCCAGGAGAAGGACTTGGAGTTGGTCTTCGTGCCTGGGAGGTGTGTCTAAGCACACAGTTGACTCTCATGGGAGCACACGACAGTGTTGCTCGAGTCCCAGGACTCAGGGTTGCCACATGTTTATGTGAGAACACCTGACAGCGCTCTTGACCCCAGAGGCTGTGTTCTGCCCCGACCCACAGTAATCCTTAAGGAGTGAACCAGGTTTGCGTGTGGTCGGCATTGATAGGACTTTCTGGAGTAAGGTGAGGGCTGCATGAGGAGATGAAACTTGAGTTCACCATCAGAATCGTGTGTGGGGTGTGTGTGTGTGCACGGTCAGGCTCGTGTGTGGAGTGTTGTGGAGAGTTGCTGGCCTGGAGGAGTCAGGCGAGGGCCTTCTTTTACTCTATATGTACACAATGTTCACAGAGACTCAAGATGGCCCCAGAGTGACTCAGCAGCCACAGAGCTCATGCCTGATTCCTTATCAGCCTGACTAGGCGGTGGCGGTGATGGCGGCAGGGCTGCTGCCCGGTCTATGACATTTGTCTCACTGCTCTTGTGCACTTTCAGCTGAAAGAAAAGAGCCAGGCATGCGGAGGAAACTTGGGGTCAATAGAAGAGCTTCGGGGAGCCATCTACTTGGCGGAAGAGGCCTGCCCTGGGATCTCTGACACCATGGTGGCTCAGCTTGTGCAGCGGCTGCAGAGGTAACTGGCTCTGGGCTAGAGCGGGGCTGTAGGAGAGCCTGGAGGTGCTGGCATGGCTTCTGGGACGAGGTGGCTGCCACAGGCTGCAGCTGGGTGTCCTGGGTGGTCATTCTTGTCTGTTCCCGTTGTCCCCCAGACCCGGGCTTACAGCAAAACCTGGGAAAGGCTTGTTCTGAACTGTACAAAGGAAAGAGGTGACTCTGGGAAGGACCCCAAAGCCTCGCATTTTTAGTTCTTAGCAGAGAAACGCACAGTGCCTTAAAACACCTAGTGAGCAGAGAGTAGAGCCCAGTCGCACTGCTCACTGGGAACTGGTTCAGAGACCAGCAGCTTCGGTGTCATGGACCCCGAGCCGGGCCTGGGGCCTTGCCTGTAGGTCTGTGCTCTGGCCCCAGTGAGCTCCCATCCCTACTTGGTGGCTTTGGGCACATAGCCTTCATGTTGAATAGATCTTACTGTGAGGGCTAAAAAATAAAAATGACTTGCTTGGTGGCACCCAGTCTTGAGGCCATTGAAGGAGAGAGTGGTCTTCTTAAGACTGCCCCTGGTTTGCGTCTGAAGGTAACAGCTCATCACAAAAATAAAGCAAAATACAGCTTAAAACCTGCTGTATGCTCATCCAACAGGTCATTGTAAGTTCTTTAACTATATTTGATAATTTCCTTTGCCAACTTATAATCATTATAAACAATTATCTAGTGAGATATTTTACATTGTTTTCTTTGGTATTAAACCTTTGAAATCTGGTATGAATTCTATGTGGCTGCATCTTTCTCAGTTCAAACTCAGATTTCAAGTAGACACCCATGGCCTTTGTGGTAAGTGGGTCCTAAGTCATCAGATTAGTGGCAGGGTCCTGATCTTGTCTCTGTAAACATGGCTGTGGCTTTCCATTTCTCCTTGGTGTTCCTGAAGGCCAACCAGCCACAGGATGGTGCTCAACCAGTGACCATCATTTAGGCTTCTTCCTAGCTTGTTCCCACATGAATTGTTTCAGTCTCCTCAGAGTAGCTGCTGTATGAGGAGTCTTCAGTGAGAGCAGTGCATCATCCATGAGGCTTTATTTGTTCTTGATGTTTGAGGCTCAGCTGTGGCTCCAGTGTGCTGCTGAGAGCCTCGTGGACCCGTTTGAGTGTGCTCAGTGTCAGAAAGGGGTTCTGGGAGGAATCCCAAGATGATGTCCTCGGCTGTCTCTATACCATTTAGCATTTAGAAGCGAGACAGCGCAGACTTTTTTTTTTTTTTTTTTGAAAACAAATGACACGGGTCCTATGGTTATAACCCAGTATAACCCAGTTATTACCATCTCCTCTGATGTTATATGCAAGGTGTTCATGCAGACACACAGACCCTCCTGGGCCATGTTTTAGAATACTCCTAGGGTGTGGCTTGCCTGGCCTGCATTTGTAAATTCCTGCCCCAAAGAATTGCAGAATTTAGACTCAAACTAGCCATGGGTATGTGTCCCTAAGCTCTCTGTCCTTGGTAGCACCAGTTTTCAGAAATAGATCTATTTCAGAATAGAACGTTGGGTGCAGGAGTGTAGGCCAACACCATACACTGGCTTCACGTGCTGCTGTGTGGCTGTAACTCTGGCATGGGATGGGGAGTTGGCCACAGAGACACAGGTGGATTCTGGCAGCTTGCTGGCCCGCCAGCTGAGCCAGAAGGGCAAGCTCTAACCAGTAGGACAGGCTGCCTGGAGAATGGGAGAGGGAGAGCCTGCCAGGCGGCCCTTGGCCCCACATACACAAGGGAGACGGTCCTAGGTGTCCTTTTCCACAGAGGCTGAACACAGGCTTGCTTTTTTATATATTGTGAGTTTTTGTGTTAGACCCAGAACTTTCTTAGTCATTATAAACTCCGAATGATAGATCTGTTAACCTGCTGATTCGTGTGCTTGCGTTCTCTGACATTCTGCCCTGGTGTCACAAATGGTGTTGACTGATGTCTCTCTTTGCTTTCCCATAGATACTCCTTGAGTGGCGGAGGAACATCAGCTCACTGAAATGCCTTTTGCATTTGGGTTTGCCCTTTCCTTTCTTCTTCATCTTCCTTCTTTTTAAAAGTCAGTAAGAGCCTTTGCTGACTCTGCGAAGAGGTGTCATGGAGGCCCACCCTCCTGTAGCCGCCAGCACCTGCCCAAGGGACACAGTCCTCACCGTGCCACACCAGGTGGAGTCCTTCCGATGGGGTGGGGGGCTACTCCTTCAAGCAATTATTTTATTTTTTTATTGTTTTTAATTTTAATCATAGTGCACATATTCAAAGAAAGTATCTTTAACAAACCCTGAAATGTATATTTGGGTTTTGACAAGGCGGTTGAAGACTTGCGACCTCAGGTACCTGCTTTATGTTGCTTGCGCCTCCCCCGGGAGACGAGTTGCTCTGGTGGATCAGTGTACAGATTTGTATATAGCGTCATTTTTACGGAAACTCTTTTGGCGTGCATAAGGAATCACTGTGTACACATTGGCCAAGTGCTTCTGTAGATAATGTCTGTGGAGTAAATATTTGACAGGCCAGAACTTGAGTCTATTGCCTTGCCTTTATTACATGTAAATTTTGAATTTTGTGACCAGTGATTTGGATTTTATTTTGTATTTACAGGGTCTGTCATTAATAATAATTACCCTCCCCCCATGGAACACTCCTGATTGTACCTCAACAGATACAAACTTCCCCCTGGGTTTCCCTATGCCCCCTTTGGTACACTTGGAAGTTTTTCTTTCTCATCGACGGTACTGTTTCTTAGTGCTGCAGTTGGAACACATCTTGTCTCACAGAGCTTTAAGTTATTCTGAGTTTCTCCCGGATCTTTGTTGAGTTGTGCACTGTGTCTGCACCGGATGTGCCGTCCTGTCCCTCCCTTCCGTGGAGCCTTGTCGTAGAGTCTGCTTATCGTCTATCCCGCCTGGAAGTGTCTGAATGCTCACACAAATAAATTTTATAACTCACTCATTTTGCATACTGTTCTTGAAACATGGCACCGCAGAGCAGACGGGGCACCTGCTCTGCACACGTTTGTGTAAATGTGTGTGTAGAGACCCCAGGGAAAAGTGCCCAGACGTCAAAAAGCCAAATGTCCAGGTTAGTGCCCTATGCAGTTGTGTGGTTGGTCGCTGAGGTGTGGCCAGTGCTGTGTGTGTGGAGCTGCTGAAGCTCTTGCTGGGGACTCGGATGGGAGGCTTCAGTTCTCTTCAGGGAGCTGGGGCTGCTGTCGGCCAGGCTCCCTGTTTCTCCATGTGCTACAAAGCCTTGCTTGGCAGTTCTCAGAGCAGTTCTTGCTCAGACCCCTATAGTGTTTTTGCTTTGATGCTAATTCTTGTCCTCTTGTTGTAGCGCTAGGTCTCGAGGAAGATAGTTTTTGGAGCAGGAACTTTGGGTGAACTTGGGGACGTCTGCTTGGCCTTGTGCCTGGTGTGTGGTGGCCTCAGCGTTACAGGAAGGGCAGGCCAGTGCAGGAGGTGCTGGCAATGAGAACCGCTTAGAGTAAACGGGGGCGGGGTCGAGGTCTTCAGACTAGTGAATGGTGATGGTCTGCTGAAAGTAGATTTGGGTTGCATTAGTAATTTCAATCAATACATTTTGGCTAGGGGAAATAGAACCACAATTGTTAGTTTTTGGGTTTTTGTTTTGTTTTTGAGTCTATGGGTGTTTTGCCTGTATGTGTGTCTGTCCATCACATGTGTGCAGTGCCCTTGAAGGCCAGGTGAGGGTGTTGGATCCCTTGGGACTAGAGTTGTGAGCTGCCTTGTGGGTGCTGGGAACAGAATCCATGTCCTCTGCAAGAGCAGCCAGTGCTCTTAACTTCTGAGCCATCACTTTGGCCCCAGTACTGTTATTTTATAGCAAGAATGTTACCTTGAACAATAAAATTTGAGACCATTTTATGTTTTCTAGAGTACTCTGTACTGGAGTGCTGTGTGCTTTCCTGTATGAAACCTGATACATAAACCAGAGGCTGTTGCAGGAGTCACAGAGGGTCAGTCTGTTCTTCGGAGTGTGCCATGTCTGGCATGGAGAGGATCCTGAGGGCAGCAGACATGTCTAATGGCTGGAGCTCTGCAGTCTTACAAATGGATAGCAATATGAATCTTGATAGTGAAGCCAGTCTTTTCTTCCTTTGTAGTGCTGGGACATGAGCCCAGGGCTTGCTATGAGCTGGGTGAGGATTTTCCTTGCAATCTCTGCCACCTGTCTTTAGCACGAGCCACTGTGGTCGAGCTGCTGAGTGGACTAGGTCTTGGTTAAGCGTGATGTGCGTGTTGTGTGACTGTAGGCAGATCCTCTGCAGTCCCTAGACTATATGTAAGGCACAGCCTCCTTGTGAAAGCAACATATGATTCTTTGGGAGTTTATTGGAAACTCCACTGGGGATGTGGGGTTTGACAGTTTAAAAGTGGATTGCCTTAGAGTCTCCTGCAGGTAGCTCTGTGCTCCTCCAGCACAAAGTCAGGTGAAGTGTTCTACGGATACATCGTTTAGCTGACGGTTGTGTTCTCACCTTGTCCTTTGTTTAGAGCAGGGCCCGTCTCAGATCCACCACTAGTGCCTGCCTGGCATCACAGGTCGTGGTGGGTGAGCTCAGCGTCTCCCACAAGTCCTGCTCACGGGCAGTTTCTGATGGAGACGAGGCCACCAGTCTGGGAAAATGAGTGCCATGTAGTTGGAGGCTTCAGGTCTGGCTCATGAGACAGATTGTCATTGGGAGCTCAGGATGGCTAGGAACTCAGGATCCTTTTGCCTTGGCCTCCTGAGAGCTGGGATTACAGGTGTGCCCCGCCATGCCAGCTCACTGATGGCTCTGTCCTGGAGTAACACCCTCTTGAGTGTCCACCAGTGCAGTGTGGGAGATGGTGGGTTCCTGGCAGCTGGGGTTTCTCCGTGGAAGAAGCCCACTGTTCTGTTCCCGAGTATTTGGTTCTTTGTGTGGTGTTTTATACTTTCTTGGGCAAAATCTGTAATTGGTTTATATGCATTGTATTTCTTAAAAACCTGGCTTCTGTGTCTCTGCTAAGATGCGGTGACGAGGGTGGGAGTGCCCTGGAGTTCCGAGCACCTGTGTCATCAGAGGTCAATAAAGCTCTCAGAAGTGACTGCTGTGTTTGTGTTTGGGGCCATCAGACTCTTGAACTTCTCTGCAGCTATGTGGAGGCCAGAAATGCCAGTCACATGGGACCCACATCCCTGGCAGGCAGTCTGGAATCACACTGAAGAAAGTCCTCTTGTCTCCAGCCCTTCAGGAATTTGGTAACACTCTGGGGAGCCTGGGAATGCCCGGTGATGGGGCCTGGAGGACTCACCAGAGTCTGGATGGCCATGACCTCCCCCTTCTCACTTGGGTGTGTTTTCTGGCCAAGCCTTTAACTCATCAATGTGCCAGAAGGTTGTATTTCCTCAGTACCATGCCTGGTGGGTGTCCTGTCCTCTTTCCCACCCACCAGTACCTCCCTTCTTCCCACCACACAAAGACAAGACAAAGCTGTTGGTTTTGCCTTCAGACTTCCGTGTGCTGGATTGTGGCATGAGGTATTTTTATTCCCTTTTGTTAGTACTTAGAACCATCTGGTACATTGTAAGGCAAATGATTAACACGTCTCACTCCTCATCCATCTGTGAGTCATGGACACTAGCCACAGCCCCTTGACTTTGGGGGGTCTGCTTCTGGGATGTAGGGCACTGTTGAGGGCTGTGCTGATCTCTACAGCTTGCACTGTAGAGGGCTCTGTGCATGAAGGGAATGTCAGCCACCCAGTCACCCTAGGGAACAGGCAAACAGTTTTCTGTTTGAGAAAGAAATAAAAATTTCTTTCTACCTGAGAGGCTCAGGTAGTGTTTGGCAGCCAGGTTCCCCAGGAGTCTGTACAGGATGTGGGCCATCCTCCTGTCCGTACCCCATGCCCAGAAGGAAAGACTTGAAGACAGGCACCGTAAGAGACTACTAGAGAGTGTGCAGGTTCAAACCATGGTGTCAGGAGGAACTGGGTCCGGTCACCAGGGCTGGGACTACGTACCATGACCATACAAAGCTCCGGGAAGCTCACTCAGCGCCCCATAACATAACAGCACAAATGGCCCTGGTCAACAACATACAGCTTCTCATGCTTGTGAAACAGACAGGAAAACATCACAGCCTAAGAGCCCCCACTGTACACACCACGCACGGACAGTGACGCCCAGGTATTGCACTGGAAATCCGCTTCTCTTAACAGAAAACAACCCCACTACAGTTTGTAAATAAGAATCACAAACAATTTGGTCAACTTCCACCAAGAAAATGGGTCTGGTAACCAGGTCTCCCTGGAGCCAAACAAACCCCTTAGTGGAATGGAGTGCGCCACAATTGCCTATTAGTCAAGGAAAGTGAGTCCTACCAACGTCCTATTATAAAAGTAGAAAGATTGGAAAAGAAATGAAATCCAAAAATGATCTCATTTGCTTAAGACTGCGCCATGTGTTGTAGACACTGGAAAAATCCATTCTGGAAAATAGCAGTCCGCAGGCGAAAGACGACGCAACCCTTCCCTAGGAAAAGAAAGCGCACTTGTGTCTCAGGTGAACGGGTGCGTGGGCTCTGCCCTGGGGTGCGCCTGCAGGGCAAAGGCTGTCATTTGGCACTCTTGATGACACTATCTCAATACTGGCACAAGCTAAAGCACCCCACGAGAATGGCAAGACAAGCCCTCCCACCCCTAGGCCTGGAGGGGAGAGACTGCTGAAGGAGAGGTTAGTACTGGAGAAGACAGGGTGTGGAGAGAGGCCTGTGGGGGGAGGTGGGCGGGAGCCACTGCACATCTTCAGTGTGTTCAGACCGGTGTGGACTTCACTAGGCTTCGTCATATCTCCCAAGAGAGCAGCCATGGCTGGAACAGCCAGTGTCCAGCCATCAGTACAGGTGAGATTCTTTGTGACTCAGGATGTGGGCGCGGGAGGCTGAGCTGGTCGCACTGCGTATGACTTCCATCCACCTAGACAACGGAGGGGACATTTTACCTCGGAGCTCATCAAAGAGTGTGCTTCTGCTCAAGTGGGGGTTCCTGTGGTGATTGTAGGGGACCGATGTTTGCGAGCCATAGCACACTCTACATGAGGCAGTTCCAAGGGCCATGGGGGGCTACAGTCCCACGCCATGACAGGACCTCCGTTCGTCTGGACACTGCCAGTTGTCACAGTTGGGGGTGTTACTGGCACCAGCTCCCAGATCTGCTCAGAGTAGTCTACCCCAAGTGACTTGGTTCAACATTCTTGGGTGTATATTATAGAGAAGGCCACCTGCCCTTAAGATTCAGCATGGTAAGGCTACACACCTTGGATCTTTCCAGTTGATGATGTAGACTGATAGGCCCATCTGCACGCATTACTAGGGTCTCCTGATTGATCTAGAAGTGCTTTGGGCCAGGGGAGAAACAAGCAGCAACAAGGCCATAAGAGAACTTGCTCCCAAGGTGGGGAGCTGGCATGTTGGGGCCCTGGTGGTGCTAGGGGATGCACTGCCCAGAGTTTATGTCCGGTTATCTGGCCGCCTGTTTCACTGCTGACTTCCTGGCTAGAAGAAGACCTGTACACCAACGCTCAACTCACTTTAGGTCCAGGGGGACTGCGCGTACACATGGTAGAGGACCCAGCAGCGTTGGCATGTGCTCACCATATGTGGTAAGGACCAAAGTCACCGAGGAGTTGGGATGCCACACTGTGTAGCCAGGACTATGAGGCAGGCCTACAGAACACACACTAACTTCCCTAGAGAAAAGGCCTGATGTCGGGAATAGGAGCACTGTCCTGAGCATACACAGGAGGGGGCACCTACCTCTCGAACGTATATTCGCTTTCAGCCCTGAAGTAGTACACGTGGGACTTGAAGTGCAGCTTAAACACATAGTCCTTGTGAATGTTCTCAGATTCTGAGGGGATGGTGAGCGAGTAGCCCAGCAGAGGCAGGCTGGCGAGGGGGTGA